CCACGAGCGGCGGGTATTTCTCAGCGCTCCTAGGTGGTGAGGTTCAAGACAACAATTGCAACTCGCAAGTGTGAGCTCCTCGGTTGCTTCGTCCTCATGGAGACCATAATGTAACACCATGTTGACTTTTCTCTCTAATTTTATCTTGAAGAATTTCGATTTGTTCTTGGAATTTGTGTGTGTCTATTCTCGCCGACTTGTTGTTGCACACGGGGCGGTTCCTGAGTACTATGAGTCAACAGTAGCACAATGTGTTCAAAGCTTCAGGAACATCATCTTTTCACCAAAGCTTACGTCTGATCATTTCCTCTTTTTGATGATCTTGCGATTGACACGTCAGCAAAATTATTGTTTCGGTTGTGTTGTCCATGATAGATCAAAGGTCGGCAGAGTCGGATACTACACCGCCGGGAGTTTACTAATAAAGTGTTTTTCTAAACTTTTGCAGAACATAACAATAAGGTTCGTTTTGCAGGCAAGTTGTGTTACAGGTATAATAGAATCGACGGAAATATAAAGCATATGTCACAACTTTGATTATGGAATACACTTGACGTTGTCGTTGTCGGTAACAGTTCGGCAAGTATACATAGGTAGATCCTCGCATCGTTGTGATAGTCAAGAAGTCAATTCTACAACACTGCAATTGCTAGTTAAACATCGGGATACAGTCAGATATCTTTATGTAACATGGCAGTCTGCATCACCATTTGAGGTGGCAAGAAGCTATATTAAGTTCAACGTTGAGATAAGGTTGGGTGTACACGTTGAACGCCAAACCCAGATATCAACGGTTGCGCCGCATGATTCTAAAATCGGATTCAAATCTTATGTGAGATCGCATTTCTTCCTTTTGTGTTTCTTATGATCGTCGTTTATTCAACGACTCGATATCCAACCGCTGGGGGCGGCAATAACCCATTCGTTAGGTCAGGTTGTAAACCAGTTGCGGCCTCCGAACTCCAGTTGAGGTTAGCAAAATAAGAGTTAATTTGCACAATCAAATTCCTTAACACTTAACTCATTTCCTCGGAGTGTTCTTATCATCGTCCTTCATCTCATATCAAAACTCAATTATCTTGTGTAGGGTAATTCGGCACCTAATAACCCACGCTGATGCGGAAGACATTCCCCGTCTTGGCTAGCGGATTCGTTTTGTTTCTCTTTACCTGGTAGTGAGGACCTCGTGCACTGACGTCAAAAGCAATTCATTCGTTCATCTGAACTCAAAGCTCTCGACCCTAGTGGTCGAACCCATTCATGATCACCAGGGAGGGGCACGTTGACGGACGGATTGACGCGATCCAACAAATTTTCCACGAGCTGAATTAAGCCCAAGCTTTTTTACCCCTAACTTCTTTAGCGACCTCCATCCAAATTATAGATGCTGCAAGTTCATAGTCCTCTTATCGTTGGGCTGTGAGCAGCTGTCATGAAGTTCGCCAAGGAGCTCGAGCGAGAAGCTGTGCCTGGTAAATCCCTAAGAATTATCTTGTAGATTGGATAAAACTAACTTTGAACCTGCAGAATGGCGCATCAAGTACCTCAACTACAAACAAGGGAAGAAGCACATCAAGGCTGTCGGTAGAGCTCTTGCTCGTGCAAATGGAACACCTCGAGGTCTTGGACAGCTTCGCACTGGCACGTTTGCTTCGCCTGCAACGCCGCGACAACCCTTTACAAGAGAGAACACGGCTTTGAATTCTGCGACAATTCCATCCGTAGCAGCCGTCGCGCCCCCGAGGTCGATCCCCACGCCACGAAGCAGAGCCGCCGAAAACGAGTCCCTCACAGATTCGGGCGATAACCGACACTATGGGAGCTTTGTCAATACACCAACTGAGCCGTCGCCTCTGGCCGGTGAGACCAAACATGCCGAATTTCAATTACCTGCGCCCGCGCTGAAAGTTCATGATCATGAGAGTGACCTGTCCGGCTCGCCTGCTACTGTTGGGCCCTCCGAGGCGATGCGACGAAATATTGAACGAATTGATCCTCGACGAACATCATCTGCCAGTGTCGTGTCGACAATTGCATCCCCGGACGTGAACAACTCGACCAAGAAACCATCAGGGTCTGGTGCTCAGGATTCACCTTCTCACCTCAGACGACTATTTACCCACCAATCAACAGCGAAAAGTGACCGCAGAGTCGATATCAACATGCAGAACTTCGACCTGGTTAAGGAAAGGGAGCGAGAATTCTTTGACTTCCTCGATTCCGAGCTCGAAAAAGTTGAGAGTTTCTACAAGATGAAGGAAGAACAGGCTGGTCAGAGGTTGGATATTCTGAGAGTACAGCTTCACGAGATGCGCAACCGTCGAATTCAAGAGATGGCTGATGAGCGAGCGCGAGAGGAGAATCCCCAGAAAAAAGGAACCCATGATAGCGCCAATGGCAAGCTCAATGGGTTCATGGATCCTATCAAATCCAAGATATTCCCTATCGGACCCAACACGAAGGCGTTGCAGAAGATGAACACGACACCCAATATCAACGGCGGCGTCGTAGGTGACGCTGAGAGAGACTACATCCGTCGCCCAACTCACCACGAGGTCTCATACCGCACAGCAAAGCGCAAGCTCAAACTCGCACTCCAAGAGTTCTATCGTGGGCTTGAACTGCTCAAGTCATATGCAATGCTCAACCGCACGGCATTTCGAAAGCTCAACAAGAAATACGACAAGGCTGTCAATGCCCGACCTCCGTATCGTTATCTGAACGAAAAGGTCAACCAGTCATGGTTTGTCAACAGCGATGTACTCGAGGGACACATTCGTACGGTCGAAGACCTGTATGCTCGCTACTTTGAGCGCGGTAATCACAAGCTAGCCGTTGGCAAGCTCCGCAGTCTGAACAAGAAGCCTGAAGACCAGTCGATCGGCATGTTCCAGAATGGTCTGCTCATTGGCACTGGCGCTGTGTTCGCGATTCAGGGCCTTATTTACGGAGCACAACTGTTGTACGATGACGATGACGAAGTACGAGTGCGGACGAGCTATCTCATGCAAATTTATGGCGGCTATTTCCTCATGCTCTATCTGTTCTCGCTTTTCTGCATTGACTGTTTGATCTGGAACCAGAACAAAGTCAACTATCCCTTCATCTTTGAGTTCGACCAGCGGCACCATCTAGACTGGAGAGAGCTGGCTCAATTCCCAAGTTTCTTCTTCCTGGTGCTGGGCCTCTTCATGTGGGTGAACTTTAGTAGATATGGCGACCCGGACATGTACATCTACTATCCGGTCATTCTTATCTTCTTTACTATTGTTATTTTATTCTTTCCTGCTCCTGCGTTGTTCTACAAAAGCCGGCGCTGGTTCGCATATTCTCATGTAAGTATTCTCTCACTCGTTGTTGAAACCTGCTGACATGAGCCAGTGGCGTTTGCTCTTGGCTGGACTCTACCCCGTCGAGTTCCGTGATTTCTTCCTCGGAGATATTTACTGTTCACTTACATATGCTACCGCAGTAAGTGCAAAGAATCAAGACGAAACGAGGAATTACTAACAATGGCAGAATATTGAACTATTCTTCTGTTTATATGCCAATTACTGGCAGAATCCAGTGCAGTGCAACTCCAGCCACTCACGGGCCCTTGGATTCTTGACTGCACTTCCGCCCATTTGGCGATTCTTACAATGCCTTCGTCGATATAAAGATACACGCAACGTCTTTCCTCATCTAGTCAACGGTGGCAAGTATACAGCGACTATAATTGCCGCTGTGATGCTGTCTTTGTACCGTATACATGATTCTAACACGCATCTTGCCTTATTCATTACTTTTTCGACCATTAATAGTATCTATTGCTGTAAGTTGCTCGTCTCATCATCTGCAAACACTTCTGACCACAACAGCTTTCTGGGATCTTTTTATGGATTTCTCTCTTCTTCAACCTAATTCAAGGCACTGGTGTCTTCGAGATATTCTTGCCCTGAAGCGACGATGGCTATACTACTTCATCATGGTGGTAGACCCTATTCTTCGGTTTGCCTGGATTTTCTATGCTATCTTCACCCACAACACCCAACACTCCACCATCGTCTCCTTCATGGTCGCCTTCATGGAAGTCACCCGTCGTGGCATGTGGACTCTCTTCCGTGTTGAGAACGAACACTGCGGAAATGTTTCTCAGTATAAGGCCTCTCGCGACGTGCCTCTCCCCTATAGAATTGAGCCTCTCATTGCTCGTGCTAGTATGGACAGCACCGTCGCTAGCCATCAACCTGATGACACTGCAGGTGTTGCCTCACTCGAAACACCCTCCCGCCATGGCACAGCCGAATCCACCGCCGTCTCAGCCGGTCAAGCAGAAGAAGGCTTGTCTCGACGCAGAACAGGAGGAGTGGCGCCCCCACCACCGCCAAAGCGCACATTCTCACGCATGCTTGCCGAAGCGCACAAGCAAGACTTTGAGAAGAAGCGCCGCCCTCTCGAACAGACCAGTGAGGACCCTGCTGCCGAGCTGGGACAATCCGACGATGAAGATGATGCCGATGAGGCTGTTAGTCTGCTGGAGATGTCGGACGCTGAAGATTTGGCAAGAGCATCTTCAAGTTCGAGATATCATTGATTTGGTTCTGGCCTGGTATTCTATAGATTGGTTGCATACACCTGGTAAATTGTTCAGCATAGCTAATTTAGATACCCTCTATACATTTACACACATTCGCATGTACATATATTGTTTCGACTACATTATTTCAGAACTAGCATTTTGATATTGGTTTCATTTGGGAAGCAATTTGCCAATTGATATTTTACCCGTGAGATTAAACAGCCCGCATTTGATACCAAGGTGTCAAAATAAACTCGAAAAAGGTATCCTAAACTTGGACTAATTTTAGGCTAAGCTTATGATAAGTTACCTAAGTCTTCTCATCATTCGGGATCGAGGTCCCGAGTTTCCTTCCCTCCCCTAGCCTGTCCAAGATGGCAGCACCAATGCGACACTCACCGGTTTGCTGATAAACCGGAAAAAGCCCATCTTCAATCTTTCATCTCAAGCGAAGTGCTGCCTCTACCGCTTGCACGATTCTGAGACCTGCCTCTACTTCCTTTTTGAAAATAGTAAAGGCCGACTTGGGCTCAGCAAGTTCGACGACCTCTGGGGTGGCAATAGGCGGGTGAGCCCCTTCGGCAAACCCAGCCTTCGCAGCACGGATGATGTAGTTTCGAGATGATATCAAGATCCATTTCTCGTTGAACTCCCGGATGCGGATCCGCTCGCTGCGCTCCCATTTCGAGAGAGCGCGGCGCTTGAGTTCGTCAATATCGTCATCGGTATTCCACTCGACATACTGGGCGGCGGCGATCTGGTTGCTAGCATCTTTGACGTCAAAGCTGACCTTGTCTCCTCCTTTGCCAGAGGAGATGCCGACCCCGAAGTATGCTGGCTGATGCTGAAGCCGTGCCTCTTCCCTCTTGCGCCTTTTGGTAGGCGATTCGCCCTCATCGTCTCTCTTTCTCTTGTTCTTCGACGCTGGTAGATCTTGGGACCATCTGCCGATGAGGATGCGAGTGTCGTCTTTATCTCTGTCCCGAGGCTTGGATGGCATGTTTTCAACGTCAGCGGCGCTCGACCAGTCTTTGAAGAGTGTATTGAAGAAGGCGACCCGGTCTTCTGCCGAGATGTTGATCGCTTCCGGCCGGACATCGCCGTAGAGCTTGAGGTTTTCTGTCTTCACCCATTTTCGCAGGTTATCGGCGAGATCCAACTTTTCCCACAAGCCGAGGTCTGTCTGACTGCTCAAGAAACGACCGCCTGGTCGCGACGCAAGGTAACTGCCATCTGCCTCGAAGTCCTCGAGACGAGTGCCAAACACTGGGAGAGGAAGACTATCGGGTTCTTCCTTGACATTCGGCGCCATATTAGCATGGTCAACCTGAACAGAGTCTGCAGGAGGCAGACCCGGATCAGTTTGACCAGCTTGGCCAACATCGCCTTTCGTTTCTTGCTTCATTGTCCGAGGTGTGGAGCAGGTCATAAGCGAATATCGACCGAAGAGGAGACAGCAACGGGGTGGACGAAGGACAACAGGAGAGAAGAGAGCAGCGGAGTGCACGAAGGAAAACAGGAGAGGATAGAGTAACAGGCTGTATGAAGGAGGCCAGAGGCTGAGAGAGTGTCAGGATCGAGGATATCTCGGGAGGGGGGGATGATGGAGAGGTGTGGTGGAGGAGGAGAAATGTGAAAGAGTAAAAGGGCGAGAGGGTAGAAGATTTATGAATGAGTGGAGAGGTATAGAGGAAGAGGAAGAGAAGAAGTGATATTATGAACATGTTGGAAAGGCGGGGAGAGGAGGAGTAAGAAGAGGGAGACAATAAGGAGACAATTGCAAAAGAGGACTATATTGTGCTACTTAGATATATTTATATCGCTATGCTGCTTTAGCATGAATAAATCAGTGATGCCGTTTCTAAAGCTTTCACGCTTGTTCTCATTTGCTTTGCCCATGAGATCACCCATCTCATATTAGGTAGGATGCTAGACTTTACGTTAGCAACGACCCTTCCGAGTATCAACAGGCAGCGCCTTACCTTTAGGTAGTGAAGAGTATAAGGAAGGCAAAGCTTTCACGCTTATTCTACATGGAACGAGCATTCATTAGAAGGCTAGATCATCGTAAAAATAGAGTCTATCATCTTACATGTCCCCAGATATTCATGTCGTTCATCTCTCGAAGCATTGTTAACAATAGCAGGAAAACCGATTCTGAGAAGACATAACATTCTACCAACACGCATATAATCGAAGAAAAGGCAGAATAGCCCATAAGAGCATCGAGATGGAATTTACTCCCATCAAGGGGGCAGAGCTAGAAGACTTTCTGGGGGACTCCAGCGTCACCACGTCTCGCGCACCCGATGCGATCATCACGCACTACTGCCATCTAACGTACCTAGAAAGGCACGACCTAAGAGACCTGCTTTTTGCCTGGCTCGAGGTTACTCACAACACCACCGACTTTGCCAGCCTTTGCCCAATTACGCAATCTCAACGCGAGTCCTTCTTCTCCACCATCTTCTCCGACTGGGATTCTTCCGAACCTCTCTGCAGCCCAGAATACATACCTTATATGGAAACAGACGGAATGATTGAAGTTGGCGTATGGAGCAAAGATCTCCCAGTCTCGCGCGAGGAATACGAGTGTGCCCTAGAGAATGGTGAGCAGGAACCCACTCGTCAACATAATACAGCCAGGCAGGCTGGTCAGAAAGCGTTTATGGCTCCTTTAAGGCACGATAATGAGGGCAAGAAAACCGTGATCACATTCCTATACAAGGACGCTGATGGCGCGTACAATAACTCTCCAGAGCTTGTAACTTGGAAGCCGCCTGGTTTTCCGCCTGGTTCTACTGTTGAAGATGTCTACATACGATGTATCAAAGAGTACGATGAGACCCAGGCTTCCCGGGCTTATCAATACAATATCGAGGCCATAATTGACACTGCTCGCAAGCGAATCGTCAAATATGCCAATGACGGCGTTCTGGAAGGTCGACTGCCTTATATAGTCCACAGAGTCCCTACACGAGTTGGTACAGATCCGATCTTGCCCAAAATTGAGAGCGGTGACGCCTGTTGGGAGACGTGATGCGCTTGCATCAGAAGCAATCATATGCTGAAAAGGGTTGTCATGGGTTGGTCGATCGATGGCTGTTATCCGACTACTTGATTGTATGTTTGGCCTGGAACATGTTCCTCTTATATCCACTGCTAAAGTTTGATCTGAAGCTCCCGGAGCAGAGATTGATCACTACGATGGCGCAACCCCCAGGAAACCAATGCTTCTGGTACGCAATCTTTTCTGCTTGTGTGTGATTATGATACTGAAAGCGACAGAAAGTATCGTGCGATGGTCGCAACTCATGTTTTGAGTTTTGCGATGACACGGGTGTTCGATGGTGGCTCACAGTCTATCTGCCTTCAAGAGTCAAAATGAAAATCGATAGCGATTTGAAATATAATACTGTATGCGTTTGTTAACGGTGTAACATTGGTGCCTTGCTTGGTGTTGTAATCGACCTCTGACGAATTGAAGGGAGATGATTGATTGTTTCTGCTATGAAAAGTAAATAAGTGAAAGACGAGTGCAGACAGAAGTGAATGGCCATGAGGATAGAAGTTATTTCCAGTGGATGTTAACATACTACCTTACTTAGATGCCTTATCTGAACGTAGGTGAAGCAAAGCTACTATAATAAGGTAAGGTCTTTTATTTCTGTTGTCTTTATCTCAACACATGACACGTCAAGGTCACGCATTGACCAGGTGACCTAGGTGGGTAGCTCCGAGATCGTCGTTTGTACCTACCTATAGCTCAACCTGACAACATCCAACCCAGCATCGATAATTCTTTACCTTTCACATTCCACCTTTCGACCTTTGGCAACAAGTATCATTTGATTCTCCAGCTTGCACATAGCTTCAACCCCTAAAATGACTCAGGTTACGCCTGCAATGTTGAGCGCCCGCGCTTCGTCCCTGTCATTGCGACAACAAGCGCTATCGTCGTCAGCTACGCTCAACAACAATGCGACAGCGCCCCAAAAGCCCGAATCGAAGCAAAGCTCCAAGAACTTTATCATTTCAGATATGAAGGGTCGTGATACAAAGGACAACCGCGTATGCGCTTCCTGTATTACCAAGCTTGCGCCTGATGAAGTCGGCCAGGTCAACTGGCACCTTGAGGCTGGCCAGGCCTGTAAACTGTGCCAGGTTGAGAAGATGGACCCTGAGTGTTTTACCAAGCCTTTCTGCGACTTTCTTCGGGAGAACCCTACGATTTTCCACACTGTTGATTACTTTGAGAACAAGCTGAAGGCGCTTGGATATGAGCGACTCTCTCCCCGCGATAACTGGTCGGGCAAGATTCAGCCTGGTGGCAAGTACTGGGTCACTCGGAATGGGAGCTCTCTTATCGCTTTCAAAGTTGGTAAAGCATATAAGCCTGGAGATGGTGTTGCTATGATCGGTGGCCACATTGACGCCCTCGCCGCGAAGCTCAAGCCCGTCAGCACAAAGCCTGTTAAAGCCGGATACATTCAGTTGGGAGCTGCACCATATGCTGGAGCCCTGAATGCAACCTGGTGGGACCGGGATCTCAGCATTGGTGGACGGGTTATCCTTGATGATAATGAAACCGGAAAGAAGACTGTAAAGCTCGTGAAGCTCGACTGGCCCATCGCCCGAATCCCCACGCTTGCGCCTCATTTCGGAGTCGGCATGATGGGAAACAATAACGCTGAGACTCAAGCCGTTCCTATTATCGGCCTAGAGAGCTCACAGCGTCCGTCTGCCGAGGCTCTTGGACCCGCTGGCTCTTTTGTCAACACCCAACCCCCCCGACTGGTTGAGCTCATTGCCAAGGAGCTTAACATTCAATCCTATAGTTCAATTGTCAACTGGGAACTCGAACTTTACGACTCCCAGCCCGCCCAGACTGGTGGCCTGGATCGTGAGTTCATCTTCGCTGGTCGCATTGATGATAAGCTCTGTAGTTGGGCAGCCCTTACCGCCCTCTTGGCATCTTCAGAAAACAGCGACGAGGGAGGAATAAAACTAGTCGCCTGCTTTGATGACGAGGAGATAGGCAGCTTATTGAGGCAAGGCGCGCGTGGTAACTTTCTTCCCTCTGTCGTTGAAAGAACCGTCGAGAGTCTATGTCCAGATGTATATGGACCAGGACTTCAAGGACAAACATGGTCTGCAAGTTTCCTCGCGTCTGCCGATGTCACACATGCCGGAAATCCCAACTTCCTTGAGAAATATCTCCCTGAACATGTGCCTGAGTTAAACGTTGGTGTAACAATCACCACAGACTCCAACGGCCACATGACGACAGATAGTGTATCCAGTGCCATTATGGAGCGGGTAGGTCAGGTTGCTGGGTGCCGGACACAAAGGTTCCAGATTAGAAGCGACTCTAGAAGCGGCGGAACCATTGGCCCATCACTATCTAGTATGCTGGGGGTCAGATCGGCAGACGTAGGACTTCCACAACTCAGCATGCACTCTATTCGCGCCACTACTGGTGCATTGGATCCCGGCCTGGGTGTCAAGTTCTTCAAGAGTTTCCTTGACAACTGGGAGAAGATTGACGCTGAGTGGCACTAGAGGTGGAGGCAGAGGGTGTTTGATATTTGATTCAGGGGCTTTGTTTCGATACCTACTTGGATGGATATTATGGTTGTAGAGATTGGTAATCTTAGATCAGAACTGTACACGATATAGATAGATTGAGAACAATACGGAGTTTCTATCGGTTTATTCTTAAAAGTCCATACCGCAACGCAGAAGGTTGAAGCCAAGGGTTGGCAAATCAGTGTCTATTATGGGTCTGTAACTCCAACATGACTACTGTAGCACATCCATCCATTCGAAAGCCGATATCGACATCAGAACTCCAATCATCTGCCACTTCCATTGCCAATTATACCTAGCAGCAACTGAACCTTGATATCCATTAAGCGTGGATACGCCCTATACGAGCAAGCCCTTCACTATGGTTAGGGATGACCTTGAAAGGTATTAGTAACAAGTCAAATGCTTAGTCCAAGGAAGAATGACTTGCCGCTGAGATCTGCCACGAATACACCTCCGTTTTCAATTCTTTCTATCCCCATAGCCCGCCTTAGGTCGCAGGGCCTCAAGATCAGCGATAGCACAGTGCTTCAAATGCTGGTTTCTAAAGTGCTCGGACGCGAGAATTAGTCTCAACAAATTGGGGGCCCGGCACTCAACCCCAAGCTGAATAGGGGCACCAGCACCCGCAATCGCCCACTTCTGAATTCGTCTTCGAGCAGCCTCAACGATGAGTTGCAGATTATGCCCGCAGATTCTGTTCTTCTCATAAGTGTCGTAATGAATCAGGACATTCTGCTTTGCTTGTGTTTCATTGAGACCAAGGAGAAGTTTGACCTGCGATTTATACACGCGTTGTCCAGTCTTGTCTTTGTAAAGCCAGTTAATGCCATCTGCGTCGAGGTCGAGCGAAAGATAGATCGGAATCGCGTTGCCCTTGCGAGCCTTGGAGCTTCGGCGTCCATTTGCTGGTTGGTTGCTGGAGGCATCCGTAGAGTAGTAGCCGACCTGGTAGTGAATGTCTGGCTTGCCACGCGGAGGCAGAGGGTCACTCTCAGAAACCGGCATCTTGGAATTCCAGTCCTTAAAGACAGTACTCCAGAAATACTTGTAGGTCTCGTCGGCTGGGAGATAGACATCCCCCTTCCGCTGGACGTATTCGTACAGCTTGATGAGATCGTGCAGCCACATCTTCTCTTTGATGACGAGCTGGCTGTGTTCAGAAACACACTCATCAGCCGCTCGGGATTCAACGACATCCTGATCTTCAAGGAGGTTCTTGAAACCGACTTCATGACAAATTGGACGCGATGAGGCTGCTGGAGCCACCTGCTGGGCGGGCAGTCCAGCTTGCTGAGGTTGCTGCATGGCTAAGGAACTTCCACCTCCAGGAGTGCTGAGGGGCATGCCCTGGGTAGACTGATGCTGAAGTGGTGCGCCGCCTCGTGGGTCTTGAATAGCAGCATATTGCTGCGGATGAGCCTGGAGTTGTGAACTCTGCTGGAAGTTTTGCTGAGAGAGATAGGGGTTCCCGAACTGCGGGTTGAAGGGAAACGCCGACTGAGTAGGAAACTGCTGTCCCATCTGAGGATACTGCTGTTGGCCAGTGTGAGAAGGATACTGGAAAGCCTGCTGAGAAGGGTATCCATATATATGCTGAGCCAAGTTCGGGTCGATAGACTGCTGAGAAAAGACATTTGGCTGCTGCATGATATCCTGATAATGAGTCTGCTGGGGAAAGGAGAAATTGGCAGCTGACTGCAAGCTAGCATAGCCGGCGATGAGATTCTGAACATTGTGCTGTTGGTCGGGAATGTCAGCGACGAGTTCATCGACATGATCAACGAGTTCCGAAGGAGCCGGAGTATGTTCTTGAGATTGATGAGCCTGAGCAACCTGGGCATTCTGATGAGTTGCAGATACTTGCTGAGCATGGGTAGCTTGACTATTGAGGACCTGGGGTCCTGTAGTCGAAGCGGTCGCCTCAGGGCTATCTGTGGTGGTGTTGGAAGCCATCGATGCTGACGATGCTGTAGCCTAAACGGTCGGAAGAAAAAGCAAAGAAGCACATATGAAGATGAAGAACAAAACAAGATACAATATAAAAAAATTAATGAAATGAAATGATTGCCGAAGCAACCGTCAGTGTCTGCCCTGGTGTGTGTCATTCTCCACCTTGCCAGTGCCATGATGTGTTCGGATATCAGAACAGTTAATTTTGGCACTGGCAGTGACAGTTACAGTTACAGTTAAAGTGACTTATGGATGCCATACAATCTATATTTAGCAGTGGCTCTTTGCATTGCAAAGTCGCCAGTAATGTTAATACCCTAAAATGTTTCTCGATCCCTTTCATCAACATCAACCTTCGCCTCGTTTACAGTAACAAACATACAGCATTTTTCTTACTCCAGAACTACCAACACATAATCGCCAGTCCCTTAAGCTCCCTCAACATCTCAATATGCCTGAGTACACTACAGACTATCTACGGTACTGGGGTGATGAATGGGTTGCCCGTTGGTCAGAGGGCCACTGGGCTTTGGAAAACATAGCAAGGTGCACCTTGCAATACCTGAAGATATACACGAATTGTGATGTTTGCTCCGGACTTTCGAGAAGTCCTTCCTATAGATATAGGACTGAACGTATTTTCGGTGTTGAATGGACACCACATGAGGCTAATGGCAAAACTAACTACGAAGTATCATGTGGCTTCAGCGAGCTCGCCTGGCTGGAAAGCGAGTGGGCTAGAGATCGTCTGGAGAAATTCGAGGAGCCATACTGGTCTAACGAGCTGATTGCAGAGGGCCAATTCATGTGCGGCTGTATCTCCGGCACTCTTTTCAAAATGGTGCTCTTAATCGATTGGGTTGAACAACGCTGGGACAGAATGGTGGACCAAGTTGAACGTCTTCTCATGGCCAACTCGGAACGTGAGGCAATTATCGAAGAAGAACTTGAGAGATCCGCTTAAGGATGACCCCTAGGGGGTTTCCTAACCGGAAGACGCATTCTACAGAGCCTTTCTTGACTGGCCTACACCAAGCTTGAGATAGCCCCTACCTAAAACATGGAGATCCGGATGAAGATGCAGGAGAAGATGCCAAGTCTTATTCACTATCGCCATTCTCAGGCAAGTTGTAAGCTCCTTGCATTTCCTATGCCATCTTACTAATTGATCATAGATTGCGCCAGCGGTCCAGCCAAGGACCTTTGAGATGCGAATAACTCGACCGTAAGGCCGCCTTCACTTGAGACCATAGTCAGAAATGGTCTGCCTCACCTAGATTTACGTTCTGTTCATTTGCTAATGTGCTACCCCTGATATGTTGAACGTAGCAATCAAGTCAGAAGAAGCTGAGGAACACTTGTTCCCGTTATGTCTTGCGATGGAGTGCCGGCTCTTTTATTATTGGGAAATTGAAGCTGGTTGTTGGCAGAGTAATTGTATTTTGAGAGAGAGCAATAGGCTCCCGTCTCTTTGCTGACGAAATTTGCATTGGTGTTTGCAGCTTCTTCTGGTTCTCATAGGATAAGATAGATTTTGACAGTTGCCCAAACAGCCGAGAAAATTCACTGTACTAGGAAATTGTGTCTTTTATGGTATATTAGGAGCTGAATTTGAACAGTTTATGTTATCGTTCGTATGTGACATGATTCATAATCATGATGTTCGGCAGAACAGAACTTTTGTTCCCGGCCAGCCAAATTGCCTAGGCATGTCTTTGGTAAACTTTCAGTAGCTGGTTCTCAAATATGCCTCAGGTTCAGGATATCAATAACAGAGAAGGTAGAAAGTTGAGAAAGCATCCCTCTTCAGCTCCTGGACCGCTAGTAGCCCTTTGATGATGAGTTGGGAAGTTTCACTATTCTCACAGATGTTACTTAACGGTTGATATTTGAACCAGGCCTTCCAACTTATACTTGAGGGGAGTAGAAAGTATTTTATCGGGATTTTGATCTTTACCAGTACGTGACTCACTCCACACTTTGGGAATTGGGTAGACTCAGCGAGTTGAGCATCAGTAGTCAACCAGCTACACAATCGGGCTAGAAGAATGAAATTGATCGTCAGGACCATGGAACCTCCCCGTAGATGGAAGAGCACCAGCGGCGGGGATATTATCAAGGACGATACGAATAGTGATGTCAGCTTCAATGGCAATGATGATTAAACGAAGGAGGACGCAAGGTCTGAGAACTCCCATAATTCGATCACGGCGAAATAACAGTCCCATACAATATTATGATAGTGGTGAAATTAATTCTCTATACTCACCTATCATAAAACCATCAAACTTTGTTCGTGGAAATCCGACCTCAAGAAACAATTCCTCGCTGAAAAGGGGGTAAAAAGGGGGCGGTTCGACAACAAGCACAGTAACGGCAAGACATAGGTAGCCAGTAATTCATTGAAAACATATTCGAGTAATGTTATATCCGATCTTAATTTCGAGAGAAGCTGCAAGATCTTAGTATTATATGCATTTTTCGACGACTTAGTGAATGGCAGACTTAAATGTTCATGTAGATGCTCGAGAGCCTACACTGCTAAAACACTAGATTGAGGTAATTAGGTGATCTGGCAGTGCTAATAACTGAGACTACCTAAGGCCTATCCATAGGTACCTAGCTGTGTCACCCGTAAAGATCTTGGAGTGCAAAGAGCGGGCAAATACAAGGCCAGTGGGAATCTCCTTCACTGCACATTCGATACCTCTTCTTCTCTTCGCATCATTTCTTATGCCAAGAGGCGAAACACAACCTGAGATACGCGCTGTTGTATTTGTGTAAGTATTTGATCCAGTGTATTCTCATCTATCTCAACTGACACGAGAAAGTACATAGTCTTGTATCATCGCCGACTACGCCATGGCCTCCCGAGGGCGCGACAGGCTGATTCTGCGAGAAGATATCGTTAGCGACGACAAGGTGTATTCGTCCAGAGACCCCAATACAGTCCTGCGCAGCCATAGAATGCTCACAAAGAAAGAACAAAATCGCTCTCATCAACCATGCCCAAGAATACGCTTGGGTTCTGGTTCACCAACTAGGACAGACTGGCGCAAGCTCCAAGAAGCTTTTGAAGAAGTTCTACGCCGAAATATTCCTCCATTGGTCAACTTCTCAAAGGAGAAATCCTAGCCCACCATCCACTTATCGCAAAGACGTGCAGACTCTTGTAGGGTCCATAAAGGGGACTTGTCCGAAAGAAGCTGTCGACAGTACCACGCAAAAGTGTGGCGAACCTGTTTACTTAGTTTTAGAAGTCGATGCGCGCTCCGAGTCCATAGAATGGACTTGGTTCAGCGGTCAAGGACTGGCTCTTGGTCTGGAGCTTGTTGAATTCGAGCCAGGTCTCACCGTCACTCAAGCCAAGATCAATGCTATTCACAACTACGACAACCATGAGCGACAACGAATCACTTCCTACAACATTCAACGTATCATCTGTGCTACTCGTCGGGTACTAGTCAAGTGGGCAGCTCGTGGAAGTGAGAGTCCGCCCAAGATCGAGCCAGGAGACAGGGTCACCAAAATCCAGACACTTGTACTTGCATCGGACCTTGCCCGTTCTACGGCCGCCACGTACTCTCAGATTGTTGAAGGCATGAATAGGGAAAGCGATGGAGGAACTGACGACCTTGACTCTGACTGAAGCGTGTTCGCAGCGCTCTATAAAACTGACAGTTCGTATTCTCAGTATTCGGTAAACTCTCAGTTCATGGCTCACGATCAAGCCATTATGTCTGTCCATGGGCCTTCCAGCTTTAGAAATGGTCGCTCAAGTTACAGTCATGGTTAATTGCGCGGGCTGGAGCTGTCTCGTTGAGACTTAGCAACACTCGCCCTTTTTACTCATGGTTTCATTTGCATAAGGTGTGTCATTATTCTTCCAAGATGTTTCGTTGGTCAATACCCTAACTTGTAAAGGCCACACTTTCTCTGCTTTGACCTGAGATGAATGAAGAACGATTACGATATGACGGACAGGCCATACGTTGATACTTGAAGGGTTACTAGATTTGGTTGACGATAGGAGGTGTCATAGTTTAATTTTATTTTACTGAAAGCTAGGAATTGAGAGATTACAACATATCCCCTTTTATTTTTTCAAAGAGATGCCAGTAAACCTCAACAGCACGCGAGAAGCCACCTATAGAGAGACGCGGACGTGAACTGTGGTAACTACTAGATGCCTATCACTTTAAGCTCAGAGTTTGGTGTTGAGCTTCCCGAATACACAATCTGATAAGATCTCGAGCCTCTAAACGACAAATATTAAGGTTTGCTATTGCAAGTTTGATCTCTTTCAGATAAATCGCAGTCTCAGCGTGTCGTGACTGGGGACAGTCCCAGAAATATGAGCCCTTCGCAAAAATCTCATTCGGGTTTATAAATGCCCTGTAATGGAACATAGGTCTCCAATACGAATAGTGAAGCGGTCTACTTTGACTTTCCTTCATCTCGTTTGGTATACCTCTCCATTCTGAGAAAAAGTCAGCAATCAACCACTTTGCCTCGCAAAGGGAGAAACACACCGCTTACGAATAGTCTTTCCACGGCTGTAGAAATGGGTTCGCATGTTTCTGGCTTTGGAAGCAGCCTTTTTGATTCCCCTGCGGGCATGGCCCATCTTTGTTCGCATTCGTTGCCCGCATTCCTCGATAGACTTTTTGACTTGTTGTGAAAACTGTGACGACCCTGAAGATTGCTCAGGTTTGGAAGGACTCGAAGAGCTTGAAAGCCGCGACCATAAGGACCGTATAGATCCACCCATAGTGCCAAGAGAGGTATGAGAGAAGGTTTGCGTGTAGTGGATGGTGTCGTGATGAAGAGGTTGTGAGTATAGTGGAAATTGTCACTGCAAGGAATGTAGGAAAGGAGTGAATGAAAGGTGAAAAGGTGTCCCAAGTCAAGTAAGAGCATCCCCTTATATAAATACCTTGTCTAGAAAGTACTTTTTGGTCACTAGATAAAAATACAGCTGTGAAATGTTTACAGTCCCTGATTCGATTTACTGTCACATAGATACACTCCAGTATCCGACAAGATCCCCCAATGGGAGACCTTGCTCGTTTTGCTCAACAAACCCAAGATATGAATTCAAGCTATGGCTCACCCAGCAACTAACCCAATGCCGGCAATGATTGGTAAATGTTGCGTCGTGAAGGAATCCGAGCCTTATTTTCACATTAGATTCAGAAGTTAAACCTCATGACAAAGTTTGATACGTATCTCATGTGGCATCCTCTCCCACAAGGACCAGGCTGACCATTGGGCACAAGTATTCTTTGGGTTCTGAGATTAGGAGAGACTCGGGGCAGTTCATTAACAACATTTCGACCATCTGCACTGCATTATCCAATTAGCTGGGCATCCAGCAGATGAATGAACACTCTGCAACCACTGAGCTAAATAAATGAAACATGGGCGACAAGTGGTGTTATATAATAGATGATTATGGAGTTTATTGAACAAAGCACTGAGGTAGTATCAAATGCGGACATTGCGTAAAGTGCATATGTAAAGATATGTCACGTTCGAGGAAGTGAGCAACGCATTAAGCTTCAACCAACAAACATAAATGTAGTCTACCTAGACTGGATGGTCAGGATAACCTCAAATTTAATCGCTAATATAATCATATGATTCATTTAAGCATTTGATAAATTACCTTTGCCCTGATAACAATTTCAATTTGTGAATACTTGTGCCAAAATGCAACAATACCTCTCAAGATCCAACCTGTCATTGGGTTCTGCTTGTCGAACTCTGCCTTTTGCTACGCCTTTTTCAAACTATGAGTTTGCTTCCCTTCTTCTGAAAGTGCTACCTTCACTTTCTTCATTCCATATTGAGTCTTAGGTTTCTGTTTGATGGCCTGTTTTTGTCCCTTTGTCCTGGCTACTTTCCATGCAATACACTCGCAATGTTTACCGACCTCACCCAGAGGAAGTACCAAGTCTAAATTTGGATTGAAGAGCCGCGGGGGCAAGGGAAATTGCGACCTTCAACCAGAGTGTTAAGATAAAATGGTCTAAAGGCATGCTAAGATATACTAAACTTACCTAAGCCTTTTCGTCCCTTAGGATTGAGGTCCTAGGTTTTCTTGACTCCTCTATAAGGGTGATGAAAAGGTTGCATTTGAAAGACAGTTTTATCGTTCGGTATCCGGAGGGAGATACGCCCGCGGCCTGCAGCATCTGAGTCCCAGTGCATCATTCGACGGCGAGCATCGAGGGACCTTGGCGATGAATGTCAATAATCTGGGGAACCTGGATACTGGCAATACCCGGGGGGCTGGAGGGAAGTTGGCAGCGGGAAGACTAACCAGCTCTTGCGCGAGGATCTTGGCCTGTCGGACGTAGCGGACTAGGCGGTTCCATTCTGCCACGCGTTCCTCCTCCTCTTCCTCGTACAGGATGTCCAGGAAATCCATGACGCTGAAGCATGTATCCGAGATGCACTTGGCGATGTACTGCCCCTCTGCAATAATCGCGTTATCGAAGTCCCGGAGGTCGAAATTGCGGAGTCTATTTTCACCCCAGATGATCTCTAGGGTGACCATTTCACTGCTGTGTGGCCGTCAGTGTACCACATCACTCCAAAGATGACGTTGGTCCTCCAGCGGTACAGAGGGGAGGTGCCGAGGAGATTGATGATTTCGGGATTGCTGAGGTTGGTTATGAGTTGTAAAGCGAGTCTAGAATATGATCTCATGCTTGGTATGGAGTTAGACCATCGTTCCAACCACTCTTCCCCAAGAAAATCGAGGTATGATTGTGAATAGTCGGACATCTGGAGATATTAGCTCTGGTATTGCGCTGTTAGGGGCAGATAGATATACCGCAGTTCCTATAGTTCAATACTGGTGGCAGAGTTGAGGAGTTGATGAGATGGGGAGATGGGGAGTTGAATGGTGACTGTGAGAGTACCTAAGGTATTTTATAAGCTGATAACCCCTGGTCGCAAGACTTTAGGATAAATTATCCTAAGTTTAGGGTATCCTTAGGCCATCCTTATCAAAATAATGCTGAATTTAGATGAGCCATGAGGTGTCAGGCAGTGCCAGCAACTGTCAAGCATTCTACCCCTCGGGATACATCAGAATAGTAACACAATGCCCTGATTCACCCCTCGTGGAGCGACCACCTGGCAATTTCTCAACCTGCCCAAGGTACTCGCCATTTTCATCGGTAAGAAGATGTTAACTGGAAATGCATGCATCGATTGACCGCCAGTCAAAGAGCTACAACTCCGCACCATCTGGCATTGTTGGGTATTTGGCTGGAGACCAATGCTTCAGTACCTATGCGAGGACGATATGAGGAGGCTGCTCAGAACAACTCATGTCCAAAGGACAGCATTTATCTCTCTCATCTGCTCATCACCATCCTACTCTACTCCTCCTTTCATCACCCTGCCAGTTCAACGCGGCTATCCTATTGAAACCAACCCCGAGTGCCAGCTGAGCCCACTCCGGTCTCTCCGGTGACCGTTTGAAGGTATGTCCTCGTATGCCAAGCACGCCTCTCTGACAATACTTAGTGATTGAAGCAAATCGAGTTGGTGACTAGATGGAAAAGTACAAACACCATACGTGCCCCGCGGGCATCACAGCCCCCAGATGATGCGCGTAATGCGTCGGCTTCTCTGGCTAATTCGTTCATCCCCCCAAGTGGTAGCGACATCGGATTTCTAGACGGCGTGTCTCTAAACCGTGGGAAACCTTCCCATTATTCTCATCAGGCTCATGCGCGTGGTGCGGTCGATCCCATATTTCACAACCCCCGAGATGTGTACCATCCTCAATCTCATTCTCCTCGGACTCCTCCATTGGGCCCGGTATTTGGTGGAATGACATCCTGCACGAGAAGCCTGATCAATCATATGCACAGAGCACAGCAGGACTGAATTCGATCTATCTTCCACTCCCAAGCCCGCCCAACATCAAACTTCCTGAAGAGCTGCAAAGCCGCAGTTGCTGGACTGGAACAGCCATTCTTGATAACGAGTTCAAATCGGCACCTGGTATCTTTAAATTGATTCAAATCGCCATTATTTCTCCGCACCTCGGTCTACAATCGAACTTGATAGTTTCATTTTGCCGCTTTTGGGCATAAGTGTCCCCAGAAGGTCAATGGATGTGGCCCTTGGTCGACACATTTCCAAGGCATAAAAGAAACCAGGCTATTGTTATCCTCATGCTATGTCCTCTGCGAGAAAAGAAGATAGTGGCTGAATCGGACGAGCTATATCTCACTAACGAGTTCGTCACCCGACTTGAACACTGTAAGTCCACTCCTCTGGTAACATGAGAAACTGGTTTCTAACCCTGAACAAGCATCAGTCCCTTAGGCTTCGAAATGGCCAAGATTTACTTTCGAAAGCAATGTCGTTGCAATGAAAATGACTGTCACTGCCCCTGACGATTTGCAATAACTATACCTTTTCCCCATCCTACACCTTCTCTCCGCACATTTCATAACACAACTTTCATACCCATACGAGATATTTCGCATTAACAGATCGGCTGGCGAAATCAGGAGATATATATCATCTTTATCAGCAATGCGGTATGATTTAGCTGCGGATTAAAGCTATTCTAGAACGACCTGCACTCGGCCTCGGACTACTTGGTCTTTGCACCACCGTCGAGCTTCTGATCGCCACTCACGTTTTCAACATATATCTCAAATGTACATTGACATTTTCCTGTCTGCTGCAAATCCTCCTGATAAACCCCAAGGCCCCTCCTCCCCGACCCCCTCCCCGACCCAAGACCCTGTCATCATCATCGTCGACGACGACGACGATGATACTTATATGCTTCATCCGCAAGCTCCTCCTCCGCGACCACCCTCCCCAAGCTCCTACTCCCCAGCGAGGCATTTCATACATCGAGGCCATCAACCTGACTGCGTATAGTATTGAGCGACCCTCAAAAGTCACCTTATATAGGTACAGAAGGAAGCCTTACACACAATGAACATAGCTTTTTTGTCGATATTGCCCAGATGACACACCAAGTTAAGGAAGGTCTTGATATCCCCTATACACTTGACCATTGGAAAGCTTTCTGGAACATGGTGTTCCAAGATTGGGATACTTCAGTTGGTAATGCTGATGACCTACCTCTGAGGGCAGTTACTCTAGCAGATAGCAAAGTCAGAGCCGGCAAACTGACGATGAATCATCCACCCAGTGTTGAGTATCCTGGACCACCTGGTCCAGCACGACTCCAAGGCCAGCCTGTCTACATGAGCATATCTCCTGCCGCCCAAGACCAGCTCCTTCAACCTATCTGGAAAGGCGAGGCGGGGAAGTTTGTTAGTCCTCGTTACATCGAAATGGAGATGCCAAGGGGAGAGTGCCTCGATCTCGCTGTCCTCAGATTCGACCGAGCTACGACGTCCCGCATGAAAGACTACAACCTCGCCTGCATCACCAACGCCGCTCGCCACCGACTAATGCATTTTGCTGTAGTAGGTACGGGCGTGGCAGCCAATGTCCCAGTAAATTGTCGAGCACCAACCCCTCTGGTACCTGAGCTCGACGGAGACCGCGCAGAGGAGACAGCCATCGCCTAGCAGGCTATGTGGAATTCCGTGTTCGCCGTCGCCATGGTCGCCGCGCTCCATAAACCTCTATCCTAAGGGAGGTGACAAAAAGCCTTATAGATTTAGAGGATCTTAGACTAAGCATTTTTAGCAACTCAATTTAATGTCAGAAGTATTCTTGCACCCCAGGGCCACATATGTCTTGATATGTTTGTTGGCCAGAAGCAAATATGTCGCTCGCTTCTGCACTCTTCGCATGTGGTTGGACTCAACAGCACGCCGCGTTGATGAACCAGGAGATCTGTTGTTCGGGCTCGATGACATTAAAAGCGGAAATGCGCGTCTGATATTTTTCAATGGATTATAGTTACTCTTCATCTATCTATGCTGTGGCCTTTGTGCTGATCAAGATTACGAAAGCCTCTTGATACTTGTCTCAACACATCAAGCTCTTATGAAACAATATTCTTGTTGGAGCTTAAGACATGTGATCAGGGACAACTCCCCTATTCATGAGATAGATGGGTTTAGATAAGAGATCCTGTAACAAACAATACATACCTACCAAATAGGCTTCCGTGGCGCCTTCATTATGCGCAGCCGTTGCATAGCCGTTGGGTGTCGGTGCCAGCCCAAACCTCCTCTATAGCAACAAGTACAGCTTTTCCATCGCCACATAGTACACAAGACTTCCAATTTAATTCGCCGAAGACAAGCCTATTCTCGTTTCCAGGTGAAGTTGCAACTTGGCTGATCATGAACTAACATGGCAAACAGGGATAGACAGTAGCAAACATCATTCACATGTGGCAAAACAACTGACTCAAGGCAGCGTTCCTCTTCCGTTTTGGTACACGAAGGTTATCTTTTGGTCCAAAGATGGGCCGCTAACGGACGAACAATGACTTTGTGGAGTTTGAGTTTATGTGCCTGCAGCACCTGATGATAGACTTTTACGGCGACAGTCCGCTTCACAATCGTCTCCCGTGGTTGCCGGGAACAGTAGCTGTCATGGTTCCACAAGCAGTCTTTGTTCTTGTGTGGCCTCGGATTACCCAGCTGCTTGGCGAAGTCTAGATCCAGTTGTGCGTAAGGTCGTGATACCCACACATGCCTCACCGCTGATGTGTTGAAGTGATTTCACAATACAGGCAGGTCACTGTCAGAGGAAGCTTTCAGGCATAAAGATAACTGTTATACATTATTAAGGCTATTAATGCCAATCCTAGTAATACTGGCTGTTCAAAACAATCATTACCCTTTCATCATCATTAGTTCCGTCTCATTGTTCACCAAGGTACCCCAATCCCAATTAAGGGCTGTACTTCTCCCACTGGATCTTGGACACATCCTTGTAGCACTTGGACTCAAGAGCGTACTTGTGGCTGGAGTACGATCCCTTAGGAAGAGTTTCCAACTCGGCACACTGGGGCACAAGGCGGATGGGAGCACAACCCTTGGGGATGTTGCGCTGGATCTTGTTGTTTTTGTCGATGGTGAGGTGAGCCTGCTCAATGACGATGAAGTGCTTGCCCTGGTAGTATTCCAAGCTCTTATTACACGCCACAAACGTCTCGGGCAGCAGATATGTGTAGGGGTCCTCGGGCTGGTTCAACTGGACACCGGGGGTACCGGGCTCGAAGTTGAGAGTAGCACCGAAAAGGTTCTTGTTCTTCTTGTCGGCCACGAGAGCGATGCCATTGGGGGTCAAAGGAGTGCCACCGTCACTGATGACAGTAGCCTCGCCGTTTTGGCGCTCCTCCTTGGTACCGTTTTGGTAGAAGATACGGCCCTCCTTCTTGATAACTCCGACGAGAGCAAGACCAGCTCCGGTGTGGATGCTAGTGAGCTCGGTGTTGTGGATCGGGGGATGAAAGTCCTTGGAGTGGTCTGTGACGTTGACGACGAGCTTGAAGCCCTTTGATGTCGAGCGTGAAGGGTATTTGGGGTTCACGTTGATGTGAGGTTGAACTGGTGAGGCCGCTGCAAGGCCGAGGAGGCTGAGGAAGAAGGTTGATGTGAGCATGGTTGTTGGGTAGAGTTTTGATGTAGAGAGAGTGGGATGAAATCTGAGAAGGGAGGATGGGAAGAGGGTGACAGACAAACAATCAAATTAATGTCTTGTCTATGGTGATTGTAGTCTCTGAAGAGAATTGATGATACGAGCAAACCAAGAAAGAGAAAAGGGCGATGTTCGAGTCTTTTAAATGTTGCCTCAAAATCGTCCGTCCTGGTTCTCAGCTCAGCCGATGTAACGATCAAGTCCATGCTGGCCGATCAGAAGTGGCTGGCTAAGCATCGTGAGGTGACTAGCGGACCCTCAGTGGGTATTGAGCCCATCAGTGGTCAGAGTGGAACCCGCTCCAGTGGATTGCAGGGGGTTTAGCGAATGACTAGAGGGATCGCCGGTGCGGGGAGTCCCAGCCGTGGCCAAGTCGGGGCCTTTAATACGAGGGTCCTGCCGCGACTACTTCATTGGATGGGTGTTTCTCTCCGGATCAGAGACACCTCAGATTAGTACCTAGATGAATGTCACGATGTTGAGGCCAGTAACAGAGGCAAGATACCTACTTATCTAAATATTATTTTAATACACTGATTCCACAATCTCAAACACACCCAGGTAAGCAAATGAATATCGTCATGAAAAGGTCCAGTTCTTCTGACGTCAAGAGATTACGATGCTCAATCCCTTGTTTCGAAACATGAGAGGACCCCAGTCCAATCATTGAAGATCCGATATCCATAATTAGTTTTCTTTTTTATCTTTCAAATGCCATTCTTCCGTCACATGCTACGACAGCCATTGGTTTTTTTCCTCGCAGGTAAAACCCAAATCTGTGGATCTAACACTAACGATTAGCTGAGTACTAGCTACCTAGCTAACGGACATGCACAGGCGAGACCGATGCCAAGGAATAGGATACGATGGTCTTTGTTTGACAGGACGAAGGCTGGCCTCAGCCTCATGTTACGCGAAATGGCGGTCCTCATGGACATTCCGTTTTGTCAAACGTTGAGCTCCATCGCGTGGCATTGCAGTCGCAGGGGTTGGCTCACTAGTCCATTGTCCGTCAACGTTTAATTGTCCACGTCGTATAAGGACTTCTGAACATGTAAGAGAGAATCGCCATATCCCATATCGCATGAAGGGAGGAAGGCCACGCTGTATACTGGGATACATGATACGGCACACTGATAGCTGATGAACTCCTAAATATCAAGAGCTGCTGATGTGCGAAACAGCGACAAGATGGCGCCGATAACGGGTCTATAGCTTCGTTCTATGAGGTTCTTTATGATGGGTCGGCATGTCTCATGAGACATTGACATGGTCATTGAGGGGATGAGTCGTGGATGCCAAGGAATGTAGTAAACCTGGCCCATGAGGTGAGAAATTCCTGCGATTCTTTGAAGTGAACGGATCCCATTGCAAGCATTGGCTGAAATGGCCACTGTTGCCAATATTCGGATGCCATAGACGTTATGTGCGATGTATAATTCACCCATTGTGGCCAATCCGCATACGTTGAACTCGGCACTTGTCAAAGCTGGACATCTATTATCGCCAACACTACGTCGGCATTCTTTGCGAAAGTCCATGGCGATGCAATGAATACCATGCAAGGCGAAATCTGTCCCAGCTAGTTGAATATTGTTATGTGTCGGAACAACTTACAATCAGTCAAGGCGGCAATGAAGACATCTGTGAAACAAGATGATGTAGGTTCTTGAGGGTTCAAACGACAGTTTCTTTTTGGGCACTGGAGAACCAGAAGAACTACTGGTTGACTCCGGCACTTCCTGAGCTGCGAAACGAGTGGATAGAGCCATCCGCACTGCGGGGGACAGAATTCCGGTGTGTTGACGAAACGCTCGACCTGGCTTTCAGATTCGAACTTTTCAAGACCCCGAACAATGGATACCATTTCGTGAATCCTATCTCCAAATGCAGTTATTAGGCGTATTGGCGACGACCACGATGATCGCCCCATGCCAGGACCTCGAAAAAGCCACTCGCGGTAGGCTTCTTCTGTCAGCAATCAAAGGCAATATACAGATACGGCTCGCAATACAAACTCACCGTCGTCATCATCATAATCTGATTCAAGCTTGATTCTTGAATAATCAACAATAGTATCGATGTTCGCGGGTTCTAGCGCCATGGTGTCAACGGACACAGGAGGAGCCTGTGACGGATGACTGGTGCCAGAACCCGGAAGCTCATCAAGATTGGAAAGAGAGTCGAGATCCATTTCCATGAAACCTTCATCACTGACATAATGACCCTGTACACCGATGGCGCTGGTGGCTAAGGGGTTTCGCTTTTGCTCCATGGTGTCAACGGTCACAGGAAGAACCCGCAACGGATGACCAGAGTCGGAACCCGAGACTCCATAATGATTGCTATGGCGACTATACTCGTTTTTGATGACAGTTGACGAGTTCGGGTCAACGTCCATAGCTTCGTCAGAGTTCAGTTCTATGGTCGATTCACGTTTGAGGTCAAGAATCTCTCGTTCATACTCATCCTCAAAATCGTCATCGAAGATGTCGATAGTGCAGATATCATCATTATATCCTTCTTGTTCTTGTTCCTCTTCTTCTGCTTCTCTATATCCATATCCGAGTTCCCGGTGGACATCATGAAAGGGCTGTCCATTAACCAGACCAAAATCGTCAAGCAGAGAAGTTTCCTAGACCCTTTTAGTACCGGAAACTACAGTGCCCAAATACCATTATAGAGTCTTACCATGTGCTATATGGAGTGAATCTACCGAAATGGTAGTCAGGTTCCAGGGGATGTGTCTGTGTCACCTATTGCTCGTGGACGAACTGTACCAGGAGGCATGGACAATTGGACGGGGACGAGTTGAGATGATGGAAGAAGAGGATGAAGAGGAGGGGGGAAAAGAAGAGGGATTAAATACTGTGGGTAAACTTGTGACTGATGTTAAGGCAAGACCGATTTAGGTGTTTGGGAAGGGGAGGAGCTATCGTTGTAATGAGAAGGTGCAGACGAAAAGCGGAAGGAGCATATCCGAAACAATCTCGGATTGGTAAAATGGAAGGCCCGCACGACTACCTTAGTACCTAGGTAGATGGCATTGTAATATAAGGTAGTTACGACCAAGTAAGTAGGTAAATACAGAGGAAAGAATGAGCTATTCCAGGAGGTACACAACTTCCAAAAGTTGACCCGTGTCAACGGACGTCGGAGGAGCCCACGCCGGATGAGAAGTCAACTTGAAGAATATCGAACAACCATTCCATAAACTCCATGCAATCTCCCTAGGAACCTTGGCATTTGCTTTACATTTCGCTGTCGACGGGCTCGTCACTGAACTCGATGAGCGTGTCACTGAACACGACAGAACCATATTGTCCATAGAGCTGAATGGTTGCCTCAAGGCGCAGAAAACAGTTTTCGGCATGATGATCATTTCCACCACACTTCAAGCTTGTCAGCTGTGTGCTTTCAGGGCTAATATGTCTTAGTACTTACGAATCTGTAAAGTCTTTAACTAAGTTCTGTTTACTAATTTAAGCTCTTAGCTACAAGCCTTAACTATAAATATAAAACCTTTATATAAAGTTAAGTCTTAATAATAACTAACTAATTACTATAGCTAAAGGCTAATATTATAAAAACCTAAAAAATAACTTATTTACTTATTATTATAAGTTATAAAAAGCTTTTATTTATTTTTTAAAATAATTAAATATAA